TCTGAAACGTCAAGACAGCTTGTTCTAGTGGTCGATTCTTCTTCTTCTGAATTGCTTCCTGGAACTCGCATATTCAATTCTATTGGCAATAACTTTAGAACGCCAGAGAACAATGCGATTCTGCCGACATTCACCTGACCGTAATTTCACCTGTTTCTGCGGCTTGAGATTTTTATTGCAAAAATATGGATTTCAGAGACATAAGCCTATTTTCCTCAAATGCCCTGATGGACTAACTGACCATCTTAACTCGTCACATGCACAACCTGGTCTTCAAGCACAAACACCGGAATTTCAAACAGAAGGAGGCGAGCGGCTCGAGTCTCAGATGTGTGAGAGTGTCAGATGTCATGATATGAAGGCGTTATTGCATCCTGGATCTCAGTTCACCATGTGGCCACTCCACGCCAACAATCATTGGGTCGAATGCAAAGACTGGGTTCAGATGGCAAGCTTCTGAGCCATTGCGTTTAGTGGACTGTTCTTTTATCCTGTAGAAATCCATCGCCTAGAGCAACTACGCTGAATCACGCTGTATTTCGTGCGATGTGAAGAAACGGAAATTCAGAAGTTGAAGTCAGACCCAGTTCCGTAACAGATGTAGATATCGTGTAAATCTTTATCTTTGAATATTCCATGATCTTCTACCTTACCTTATCCCTTGCTCTCCGTGAATGGAGCTACTTTTGCTGAAAACTTTGGATATTTCATGCATACTGTTTTCAATAGGGTCTTCAAAGGCATTGCCTGCTACCCTAAATATACTGAGCTATACTGAACTATTTCCTTAAAAAGTAAAACATTTCTCTCGTATATCACGGTGTGCATAATACGAAATATACTCTACAAGGAAGACATGTGAGGCTGTATCTCTCATAAAGCAAGAAAGATGGCTGTAGAGCTGTCCATATTTTCTTCTGCAGAGAGCTAGCTTGCAGTAGAAATGCGTTAACAGTACGGTAAGGTAGCCCATGGCACAGCTGTTTGTATTATTAGCTCTTCGGTTTTTTGTCGTTTTTTTATGCGTAACAGTCACCGGCGTTGAAATTTACCTCCATACTTCAGCCAATATAACGCGGCTCAGGGACGCATACTCTATTGCCGCATTACGAGCAGATAATCTCTTTCGAGTTTCCTTAATTAACTGTGACTTTTTCTTCCAAATGGATATGATTTGGTGTAATTGGATTGGCGAAGCATGTAGATCACGCCAAAATATACAGTTCTGAGATCTTCCGAAAATGCTCGTTCGTATTATGTTGATAAAATAGGCTTAATGGTTCCTCCAATTAACCAATTAGTCCGTAAACTTCTTTCGGGTAAAAAATGGGAAATCCGACTCCTTGTGTTGCTGCCATCTGAGCCGATCCCACGAAGTTTACCTATGCACTCGAAGGTGAACAACAAGCTGACTTTTTTTAAATGTCATAAGGTCATGCAGTGACCAGCAGTGAATGAAGATTTCTTCCACTTTCTTCCATACGAATTTTGTTCCCGCCATCTTTGTTTTACACGCAAAGGGCAAAGTGGGCTCTAGGGCAAATAAGAACTCTCATTTTAAGGGCGCGATCCCCTAATACGTCCATTTACGCACCCAATCCCCCTCGCACGCTGCGATTGGCTGACTGTTGTCAGCTGTGAATCAGTGATTGGTGCGATGCTGCAGCCCTCGGCGCCAATCGTATTATGACTAATATTATTGCGTGAGCATGTCGACACGGGTCGCTTGCTTATGTTAACACAATCAACTACTGGATCAAGCCCCTCTCTCTTCACTGCTGCACCATGGAAAATACCTTTCAACGAACTGCAATCAGTTATGTTCCGCGGTCCTATTCACTGGAAATTTCCCCTACGGCAGTGGAGTCTATGGCGCTAATGCGGTGCTTTTCGCCATCTTTTGGCTTTGCAGAGGCTTTGCCTGACCGAGACCTGTCAAGCTATAGGAAGAATCTGCCCCTGGGTGTCAACTTCTCTCCCGGTGTGCCCACGAAGACGGTGGACGAACCTTCCGACTCCGTCTCTAGTTCCTCCAGTCCTCCAGGGCTGCCGGATGTGGAGTTTGCGCTAGACCAGACTGCCAAGCCACCCTTCTCCTACATTGCCTTGATTGCAATGGCAATCAAGAGTGCTCCAGACCGACGCATTACCCTAAGCGGTGCGTGCTTCGCCATTTCTTTCTATGCATATTGCATATATGTGGATAGGCATTGCATGATTGGTCCGCGGAAGTCTGCGGTCAAAGGGCGAGTAGCTAGAAAAATCCACTACAGAAAGGAGTAGTTTTTGTGAGAGGGCTTTCGAGTCAGAGTAAAACTGTTTGAAAATCATCCACTGTCACAGCACTGAAATTCAGCAAAAGATTGGAAGTTAGAAGACGTACAAAATATAACAAATCTAGGATAAAAACCGACCCGTTTGACCACGTTTTTAATGCGACCATCTCACCTCGGGCGACCGACATTTAGGCGGTGGCCTGTTGCTGGTGGTGGGGGAGAGCGCAAGGTCGACCCTCAGCGCATTTCTTTCTTCACTATAAGCAATCTGATGTGCTTGAAGCTACCACGATGCGCTAAACGCCGTGGCTATG